CCAATCATCAGCTTGTTAATATGAAAAGTTAACTCCGGCAGCTTCCATTCCTGCCCTCTGTCCAGAATGGTAAAGTATTGTTAGAATGTTTCTCTACCCTTTCATTTTCGATCATGGCTGGAGCATACCTCTACCATGGGAATGATCTTCAGTAATTATAGGAACCATGTAAAGTGATGGTGTTTGGTCATATTCAAACCTAACAAGTTTTGGCACCAGTAGCCAATCATAATCTCCCTTTCTTTCTCCCATGTAGCACAGGAAATGTTAAAAGGAAAATGTACCTGCTACAGCACCAGGAACAATTCTCCTTTCAGACAACATCCATCATAAAGGCCGATTCCTACCACAATGCAGCTGTTTTGCTCTACTGACTCCCTGTGGTTCATTCCCACATAAACACATTATTTTGTGCACTCACATGCTCATCATGGGCCTCATTTATGAAAAAAAAAACTAAAGCCAAGGAAATATATTGGTGTTTGCTCATATACAGCACTGTGCTGGCCCAGATTCTCAAACCTGACTGGTGATTGGGAGCAAAACCTCCAGTTTCATTGGCTATAGTTTTTTTTAATGAGTCATTTTGTCCCATGATTCCCTGGGGGACACCCAACAGTCTTCCAGACACACCACCATATAATGATATTCTTTAGAAGGATAAAAAAAGTCATGCAGAAATATGCAAAAATGAAATGAAAAAACCATATCAGATGATAATAAAAAAATTGCGATTTTTGTTCATTCTCTTCACAGCAAACAGCCCTTTCACATAAATGATAAACACACACAGAAGGACTTCTAAGACTATGGCAAATCAATTTTGGCTTAAGGCAAAACAGAATTACATATAAATATACATATGTTGCAAAGTCTGTAAGCTGCTTCTCCAGAACAAGTACAGAAATGAAAGAGAACTGAATTTGTCGGCACAGTAGTGGCCAGTTGGTCCACAGAAGTGCTCATGAATTAAGCTGTGGGTTTCCATAAAAGCTTTCAGCAGGTAGTCTTCAAGAACTGGCCACATTTTGGACAGGAAGCGTATAGCAGCAAAAATTGATAGAAATATTTTGAATTTAGATGGCTCTTTCCATACAAGTCTATGGGAAGAAATATAATCTGAAGCAAGTCAAATGCACCTGTAATGGTTGTGAATGATCCTCAGAAGTGTCTCAAAAGCACACTGCCTTTGCCCATCAACTCCCCTGTCAACATGGACATTTAATTTCTTTGAGCCTTCCTTATCGGGAGCTGTCTTCCCCAGAACAATTGGAAGTCAACTTTTTTTTTTTTTATTTCTTTTTTTTAAGAAGCTGATAAATAATAAAAACAGCTATTTTATCAAAATGCTGATATATAAAGTCTTCTTTCTGATTAAAGGTCAGCTGAAAGTAGTAATCATCTAATAAGCTGTTATTACAAAATGTTTGTTTCGCCCCTACTTCATCCTACTTTGCAAGATCTGATTTAATCCATGTTGCTGGACCTAAAATCTATACAGGAAAATAGAACAAGGCTTAAGTGCCCCTATCCACATTGAGGGCCATTTTAGGAGCTATGCTGTATTAATAAAAGCCCATATTTAGCACAATTTTGTATTTATCTATTTTTTTAAATAAAGTAGATAAGAGTTAGAACCTCTTTCAAGTGTTATTGCTTTATGTGTCCTCATTGGACAGATTTCTCCTTATTTCTTGTCTTGGTGACACCAGAAGAAGAAATGAGAGGGTTTGTGTCAATGGGACAAAACAACACAGAGAGCAATACAAACCTTAAAGGTGTTCCATTTCCTCTCCTCAATGTTCTAATCCCTTGTGCTAATTAAATATACTTTTGCTGTTGTTTCTGCCCCATTCCATTGCTTATTGGACAAGAAGATATGGGAAATCTTCCCAGCTGGGACACAGACAATATAAACCCAACAGAGGTTAACTAACCTTTCCTCAATCAGTGCAAACCTGATAAAAAAAATAAGCGAAGTTGGGCTGTAAGCTCTGTAGTAATATGAAAAAATATAATAAGACAGCTAAAATGGAACAAAGCCAAGTAATCCTCTATGTAGTTGTCAAGTGGTCCAAAAAGGATGAGGGACCCGAGGCAGATGTTTTTCGAGCACTCCCTCAACAGGTGTCAAGGGTACGGCATGGTTTTCCTGACAAATAAGTGGGTCATTCTAGATCAGGGATAGGCAACCTTGGCACTCCAGCTGTGGTGAAACTACCTCTGCCTTTGGAAGTCATGCCTGTGGCTTTCAGTCAGTCTTGTCAGTCAAGAGACTTTTTTTTTTTATATTAGAAAAAAAATCTCATTCGACCTTTAGTTCCACAACAACTGGGGTGCCGAAGTTTCCGACTAGAAGTAAAACCTATATATACTGCAAATAAAACCCAAGGACATGGCATAATCGGACAGTGAGCACAACCAAAAAAAAATTGTAATACTCCTTTAATGTAATAATTACAATAACCAACACAGGCGAAGTTGGGTGCAATAGCTGAAGATAGGGGCTTCTAGTGAACCTGTCACATACTTGGGTCATTCAAACTGAGCATATGATGAAAGATGCATAGGCAAAGCAGACTTAGTGGGGTTTATTTACTAAAGCTGGAGAGTCCAAAATCAGACTCCCTTCTGCATAGAAACCAATCAGCTTCTAACCTCAGCTTGTTCAATGAAGCTTTGGCAATGAAACCTGGAAGCTGATTGGTTTCTATGCAGAAGGGAGTCTGATTTTGGACTCTCCAGCTTTAGTAAATAAACACCAGTATGTCAAAGTGATTGGTAAATCCAAAGATACCTGCAGACCAAACTGTGGTCCGAGAGCCAGATACGGCCCTTGCTTGCCTTTATCTGGCCCTGGGTGCACTACTCCTACAGCTGACACCATTCCTCACTGACAACATCAATGGGCCACTATTTCTCCCACTGATACTAAAAATGGGCAATATTCCATCCATTAAAACCAATGATGGGGCATTGCTTGCTTCCAATGACCACAGTCCAGCCAGCCTAAAGCTTAAAGGCCTGGCCCTTTACAAACCTCCTTACTGGCCTAAAATTGAAGGACTAGCATGAAATTGAAATTATAATTTCAACTTCCTATATTTCTTTTGGCTTTTGGCATGCAGTTTACATGCATGGTAACATCTATTTATGCATTTTTTTAATGATCTCCTGAATTTGATTTGCCCTACTTTGGAATAGGCTTACTTTAAATGCAAGCCTTTAGGGTTCCCCAGTATGGGATTCCAGTTTGTACCTGTATTGCCAAATAGGATGTTTTTTTCAAAAAAACTTTTTTTTCTTGGACTGCCCTAAATCCCTAAATGTTGATTTATATATATATATATAGTAAATACACTAAGTCCGGAAAGGCTCACAGTGGCCAAGAAACTATCTCACCTCATCTAATTCTCAGAAACGGATTTGGACCTAAAGACAAAAAATAGGAAACCCAGGAGTGAAAAACAGAAATCAGTATAATGTCAGTCTTTCACAGACGCAGCTTACAGATATGCAAGTATTTTGGCAACATAAACACATTCAAATAAATAATACAAAATATATAAACATCATTAAAACAAGACATATAAAAAAAGCAAAAGAAAAAAAAACTGCTGGTGAAAAAAAAATTAAAATATAAATTTTTTTCTACCCTGCAGACGCTTTTGCAGCTTGCCGTCTCCTAAAATAAAAACGCTTCACTCTGAGTGTATTGCCAGCGTGTGCAAGATAGAACAAGAAATAAGAGTAAGGAAGACCATCGGCAAAGCTGCAAGAGGCTCAGAAAATTACAATCTCTCTGTCTCCCATTTCAGTCCATCTTAGCGTTTCTTTTTTTGTTTTTTGTTTTTCTTTTTAAATCAGCAAACACCACAATTTTCGCAATTCTATGGCGTTGAAGTGGATTTTGTGAGAAAAGGCGATCAATAAATTATATGCATTTAGAAAATATATATATATATATATATATATATATATATATAGATATATCTATGTCGAGAGATTTAAGAGAAAGAGAGAATTGAAGAATTAAATAAAATATTACTTTTTTTTTGTACCAAAAAAGAAAAGAAAAAAAAAAGTGTCTTTTGGAGGCTACAGATTTCCACATTCTTTTTACTGTTTGGCTACCAAACAGAGGGAGATGTAGAGTTGGGTTCCACCCGCCTCTCTGGCAGTGGAAAGGTCAGTTCTAGAACATTCCACCTCATATGAACAGAACACTGTGAACCCCTTTGAGGAGGTGAAAGTAAAGCCCTGTCTATAACACCTCTCAGCATCAGTGCTGCTGTTTTGTTTTACCCAGAAACCTTTGCCATGGGAGCGCCATCTGCCACACAACAAAAGACACAGAGATACAAGTACATAAAAGGCACACACCTTTTCCACAGTCTCTGGAATCCTACGTCACTCTCAGATGGAATAAAACACTCTGAGAAGTGAGCTCAGCTTGGCTGAGACGGTAGGTTTCTCTTGTTGTTTTACAAATTAAAAAAAATCATTTAAAAAAATTCATTACATTTCTGCTCAGTTCTTGATGGGTATTTTTGTTCATTTAAAAAACAAAACAAAAAGTAAAATAAAAATAAACAAAAAAAAAAACCCAAAATGGCTTTGTCTTTGCATGCGCAAAAATTAGAACGGAACTTGGTTTCCTTGTTGCATCCGTTTGAAAGGGAAATAATTTTTTTTTTTTTTCAAAAGAAAAAAAAGAGCACTCAAAAAAAAAAAAAAAAAAAAACACATTATAGATTTTTTTTTGTAGAGTGTGTTGTAACTTACTTATGGCAACAAACTCCTATTCTGTGCAAAGTATCGGAATCTACAGTAATTGTGTTTGTTCCCCTTGAGAATACAAAAACAACCTTCAAAGAAAAAAAAAGACAAAAAATAAATAAATATGAAACTGGAAATTAAGCACATTTTGATCTCCATGTAAAACAGGTCTTTGTGTGTTGTTAAACATCTTAGAGTTTATTGTCTTCTGTCGGTAAAGTTCAGGATTCCGCAGAAGATGTGTCATTTGATTGATCGTCAGTCTGTACTGGTGGCTCTTCCTGTGTTGTGGGGTCTTCTTCAATGTCCAGCTCAGGTTCTTGGATCTCGGGTGTTTGGAGCGCACAGCCCTCCTCTTCCTCGATGCCGCTGTTCCGGTCCTTGTCAGATTCCTCAGTTTCTTCCTCCAGTGTCAATTCAAACTGAAACTTTTCCATACCGGTCTCCTCGTCTTTGTCTGGATCATCTGGTGGCGGAGACGGGCTTTGAGGGATCATGCCTTGGTACCAATCCCGGTTGTCCTCCAAGGTGTCCAGGATTTCCTGAGCATCAGGGTGAACTAGATCCGCCCAGGTCTCCCACAACGGATGGACAATGTAATCAATAAAGCCAACCTGTTGATATACAGAAACACATTGGATGTAGACAATGTATAAAGGGTTCCACTGATTTATAATTATCTCTAACATGGCTGCATAACAGAACCTCACTGCAATTTCTACCCTTTCCTTTGCTGGTGTTTTCTGACTGTGCTAGGATGATTGAGCACCATAGCTAAAAAAAAAACTCATGCCTGATCTCTGAAAAACAAGGGGGCTGATTTACTAAAGGAGGAGTAGAGCACGTCGACTTTCACTAAAGAGTGAACTTTTAATTACCTTAGTTAAAGAAGAATTCCACATATGTATACATTTACATAACCAGCCCCTGACCACGCACTGTAGCTTTACTGCTGCAGTGCGGGCCTGCTACGCACACTTATACATATCTGATTTCGAATTTCCTGCGTGCCTGCCAACCCGACTGTGTTGTCACTGGCTCCAACACATGTCAATCATTTATGACTGAGACCTGCAGATCGGCAGAGCAAGTGACAGGAGAGTGATCTGTGTTGGTAAACAACACAGAGCTCTCTTCTGACAGCGGCGATGTGCTGCTTTTTTGTCTCCCTACAAAGCAGGAAATAAAAACCGTCACATCGCTTAGTAAAAGGACCAAACAGTAAACACTTTACTTGTTAGGCACACAGTTAACCCTTAGATTTCTCCTAGATGTTACCCCCCTTCCCAGCCAGTGTCGTCAGTAGCACTGATCACTGTATTAGTGTCACTGGTGATGCCAGTGTCAGTTAGTCAGTTCCCACAAAGTGGCAGTTAGTGTCAGGTTGCCCACTGTACTATTACAGTCCCACTATAAGGCTCCATGCACACTAGGTGTTTTGATAACGTTAGTAAGTATGTGAGTTTTTCAGTTTTTTTAGCGTTTTTGCATTATCGTTTAGCAACGTTTTGCTGCAATGAGTGGCATTTTCCCGTGTTTTTCGGTGTTTGCACTTTTTAGCATTTTTTTTTTACCACAAAAAAAATTTTCTTTGGTAAAGAAAAAAAAAGTCCAAAAATGCCAGTTTGCAGCGTTTTTACCGCATTTTTCAGCGTTAGAAAGTTTTTACAACTAAAAAACTCCTCTAAAAACTCACTAGGGTTTTTTTTTTACAGCCAAAAAACGCCTATGTGTGCATGGACATAGGATAACAAGCTGGGGGGTTTACTGGCTGTAGAAAAAAACGTCAAAAGCCAAAAACAGCTGCTGTAAAAACGTCCTGTGTGCATGAGGACTAAGGCGATGATCTCCGCCATTACTAGTATTAAAAAATATATAAATAAAAATTCATATATATATATATATATATATATATATATATATCCATCCCATAGTTTGTAGACTATAACTCACACAAACCAACGAATACACACTTATTGAGATTTGCTTTTTTTTTTTTTTTTTAACCAAAGACATGTAGCAGAATACATTTTGGTTAAAAATTATGAAGTATATATATATATACTAATATTTTTTTAAATTGTTACAGAATTTGTATTATAGCAAAAGTAGAAAATAGTTTTTCAAAAATGTACGTCTTGTTTAAATAATATAAAATTTACCAAATTTTTCGCTCCATAAGGCACACTTTTTTCCCCCAAAAAAATGGAGGGAAATGTCTGTGCGTCTTATGGAGAAAATATGGAGCGACCGGCCCTGTATTCCCCCCCCCTGACGCTGCTGCCGTGTTAGAATACCGGGCCAGCCGCTCAGCTCTTCTATGGCAGCGCTAGGCAGGGCCCAAAGCAGATGCCCCTTAAAGCGGAGTTCCAACTGGAAAAAAAAAAAAAAGTCAGCCGCTACAAAAACTGTAGCGGCTGACTTTTAAAATACAGCCACTTACCTGTCCCTCGGTCCAGCGGTGCCCTCACCACTGCTGTTATCACCGGCCGGCTCCCCTGGTGCTGATGGTCCACCAGCCCTTCCTAACACTGCATGCTGGCTGGAACAAATGAAGCAATACTGAATTTCGACAACCACTAATTGAAAGCTGATTTTTGTTTCGTATATGTGAGGGCCTATTTGGTATTGCTGTAAGACACAGACTGAGCACTCATGGAGGGGGTATTTTTTTGTCCACTATTGAAATGTACCTGTGATTTCTCAACAGAGGCAGTGTGCTTGTCACACATAGGGCTTATCTCCATCCCTCTCTCCCTCTCCTTGTCTCCCTGTCTGAAGAACTCCTCCAAGATGCGGTCAGTCCATTGACGGTACAACTCCAGTGGTTTGGTTGGGTTGCTGAGATCCGCACAGTGCACCATGTTGCGAAGAACCTAAGACAGCAGACAACAAAGAAATCAGATGTAAAATCAACTTAAAAGGGGACCTTTGACATTATGAAAGTAATGCTGAAATAACTAAAAACAGCCAAATAGAAACTACGCATGAATATATACAACTTACAGATAACACAAGATCAAAAGTTTGAGGTGTCACCAACACAACGTTTTCTTTCCTAGTCCAGATGTGCTAGGACATGTTGAGGTTGTATAGCCATACTGCATACAGGACAGAACATTCAAACATCTCCATATGACTTGGTGAAGGGACACAGAAAGGGGCTTAGATCTTCATAAGAGATAACAATGTTCTTGGTGTTCTGTAACTTGGGACATTCACCATGCTACGTCTAGTTTACTTTCATTACCCTAACAGACGGGCAGTATCTATGAACTTGCGTGAAACAAACAATTGTGCTGGCCATGCCAACCAGATTCTCTCTTTCATTATCTAACCTGCCCTAATGGTCATGGAGGGAAAACCAAAACCAAATTGTTTTTTAGGTTTTTGGAAGCTGAGGAACCTCTTGCAAGCACATGTATGTATAATACTGCTCGATACAGGAACGGATCCCAGGGGGGCATTTTCCTTCTTCTTTTTGAGCCAATTCAATACACGTAAGTTGATGTAGCTTCGTTTGACTCTGCTGATTGGATGTTTCCCTTCCCCCTTCCTGAATTAGTGTACAAATTATTGTTCCAGAGTGCCGTATCTTCTCTCTCCCTTCTGATGGGGTCCCAACATCGTTCAGGTTTCCAGCATCTGCCGGTCGGCACTTACTGCCATTATCCCTGTGCAAATGTATGTAATAATTTTTTGAAGTTAACCTACTACTGTTGCCTAGGCAACACTTCTCATTGGTGTTGTCACACCATAGTATTGTCAATGATTTATGTATATTAAGTTGTGTAATATTTGTTCTTTTATCTAGCTACAAATGCATCTCATAGCTCCTGAAGAAACTACAATATCGCAAAACATGTTGAGATTTGACTAATACACATCAAGATACCCCGCCTAGCACCTTGCCAAGTCATGGCGGATGTACAATATAGGGGGTCTGGATGGTATCTAGATTGTTTTGTGATCATGTACTATGGAAGATTTTTTACTTGTGTATTTTCCATAAAAGTGTTCAAGTTGTAATGATATTTGTAGTGCCTATAAAGTCCTAAATCTTAGTATAGTAAGTATTCGGGATGGGGCAATTTATACAATGACTATGCACCCACAGTGACCACCCGTGCTGGGGAATTCTATTTCTATCAAAACCTAATTGGTTACTATAAGAGTTCAGACACGTCCATTATGGAGCCCCATTAATTGGTAGTTTATAGTGCTTTGACAAAGTATTCATACCCCTTGACATTTTCCACATTTTGTCCTGTTACAACCAAAAACGTAAATGTATTTTATTGGGTTTTTATGTGATAGACCAACACAAAGTGGCACATAATTGTAAAGTGGAAGGAAAATGATAAATGGTTTTCAACTTTTTTTTTTACAATTAAATATGTGAAAAGTGTGGCGGCATTTGTATTCAGCCCCCCGGAGTCAATAGTTTTTAGAACCCCCTTTCTCTGCAATTCCAGCTGCAAGTCTGTTTGGGGATGTCTCTACCAGCTTTGCACATCTAGAGAGGGACATTTCTGCCCATTCTTCCTTGCAATATAGCTCAAGCTCTGTCAGATTGGATGGAGAGCGTCTGTGAACAGCAGTTTTCAAGTCTTGCCACAGATTCTCCATTGGGTTTAAGGTTTGGACTCTGAATGGGCCATTCTAACACATGAATATGCTTTGAACTAAACCATTCCATTGTAGCTCTGGCTGGATGTTTCGGGTTGTTGTCCTGCTGGAAGGTGACCCTCCGCCCCAGTCTCAAGTCTTTTGCAGACTCTAACAGGTTTTCTTCTAAGATTGCCCTGTATTTGGCTCCATCCTTCTTCCCATCAACTCTGACCAGCTTCCCTGTCCCTGCTGAAGAAAAGCATCCCCACAACATGATGCTGCCACCACCATGTTTCACGGTGGGGATGGTGTGTACGCGTTGATATGCAGTGTTAGTTTTCTGCCACACATAGCAGCGTTTTGCTTGTAGGTCAAAAAGTTACATTTTGGTCTCATCTGACCAGAGCACCTTCTTCCACATTTGCTGTGTCCCCAACAGGACTTCTTATGGCTTTCTTTCAACAATGGATTTCTTCTTGCCCCTCTTCCATAAAGTGGAGTGCACAACTAATAGCTGTCCCGTGAACAGATTTCTCCCACCTGAGCTGTGGATCTCGGCAGCTCCTCCAGAGTTACCATGGGTCTCTTGGCTGCTTCTCTGAATAAAGTTCTCTTTGCCCGGCCTGTGGGTTTAGGTGGATGGCCATGTCTTAGCAGGTTTGCAGTTGTGCCATACGCTTTCAATTTTCAGATGATGGATTGAACAGCGCTCCGTGAGATGTTCAAAGCTTGGGATATATTTTTATAATCTAACTCTGCTTTAAACTGCTCCACAACTTTATCCCTGACCTGAGTGGTATGTTTCTTGGCCTTGATGATGCTCTTCGTTCAAGAATGTTCTCTAGCAAACATCTTAGGGCTTCACAGAACAACTGTATTTATACTGAGATTAAATTACACACAGGTGGACTCTATTTACTAATTAGGTGACTTCTGAAGGCAATTGCTTCCACTAGATTTTGGTTAGGGGTATCAGAGAAAAGGAGACTGAATACAAATGGACACCACACACTTTTCAGATATTTATTTGTAAAAAATTTTGAAAACCATTTATCATTTTCCATCCACTTCACAATTATGTGCCACTTTGTTTTGCTTATCACATAAAATCCCAATAAAATACATTTACGTTTTTGGCTGTAAAATGACCAAAAAATTTGGAAAATTTCAAAGGGTATTAATACTTTTTCAAGGCACTGTATGCTTTATTTCACTCATTTGCCACATTTTTTTTAAATGAAACTTTCTAAAAAGAATGATACAAGAAAGTAATTTCTTAATTATAATTAAGAATGAATCTGCCGCCTTTGTTTGCAAAAACATGTTTTCTTCTATGGCAATGCTGTAAAATAATTTTCTGCTAATGTGATTGACTAAGTACTTTTCCAAATGACTTATTCTCCTATTAGAGCGCAGACACTGACAAGGTGACAATAGAAGGCACGCTCTTGGACTTGCCACAGTTACAAAAATAGCCTGCTTTATCTACAGAGCAAAAGCAGGTAAAAACAAACAAAAATAAAAAGTTTGCCAAAATATGTGCAATGCATATAAACGGACTAATAGAGAATTATCTATTCATCTGAAAAAAAAAATAAAAAAAAATAAAAAATTTCACATTGATGCCTACATATTAAAGGACCAATATCCATACAACATGAGTTATAGGTTTTAAAAATATTACAGTTCATTAGCATATATACCATGTTTTCAGGGGTTTAGGATAGACACGATAACAAGATTCTGATTTCGATGGAAGATATTCACAACACACTAGAACATCTGTGAGAACGAAAAAAAACGTGCTAGGACTCCATTGGATGTCAAAAAACATAGCAGCTAGCACGATACCATAATACATAGTATAATAAACATCACAAAACAATAGTGCAGCACTAAAATATATTAAAAGGTATGTGCAATATACAGTGGGGCAAAAAAGTATTTAGTCAGCCACCAATTGTGCAAGTTCTCCCACTTAAGATGAGAGAGGCCTGTAATTGGCATCATAGGTAGACCTCAACTATGAGAGACAAAATGAGAAAAAAAAATCCAGACAATCACATTGGCTGATTTGGAAAGAATTTATTTGCAAATTATGGTGGAAAATAAGTATTTGGTCACCTACAAACAAGCAAGATTTCTGGCTCTCACAGACCTGTACCTTCTTCTTTAAGAGGCTCCTATGTCCTGCACTCATTACCTGTATCAATGGCACCTGTTTGAACTTGTTATCAGTATAAAAGACACCTGTCCACAACCTCAAACAGTCACACTCCAAACTCCACTATAGTGAAGACCAAAGAGCTGTCAAAGGACACCTATGTTTCTCCGCAAAGGGACCAGGACGACTGATCCATGTACAGGACAGAATGAATGGGGCCATGCATCATGAGATTTTGAGTGCAAACCTCCTTCCATCAGCAAGGGCATTGAAAATGAAACGTGGCTGGGTCTTCCAACATGACAATGATCCCAAACATACCGACCCGGGCAATGAAGGAGTGGCTTCGTAAGAAGCATTTCAAGGTCCTGGAGTGGTCTAGCCAGTCTCCAGATCTCAACCCCATAGAAAACCTTTGGAGGGAGTTGAAAGTCCGTGTTGCCCAGCGACAGCCCCAAAACATCACTGCTCTAGAGGAGATCTGCATGGAGGAATGGGCCAACATACCAGCAACAGTGTGTGCCAACCTTGTGAAGACTTACAGGAAACGTTTGACCTCTGTTATTGCCAACAAAGGATATATAACAAAGTATTGAGATGAACTTTTGATATTGACCAAATACTGATTTTCCACCATAATTTGCAAATAAATTCTTTCCAAATCAGCCAATGTGATTGTCTGGATTTTTTTCTCATTTTGTCTCTCATAGTTGAGGTCTACCTATGATGCCAATTACAGGCCTCTCTCATCTTTTTAAGTGGGAGAACTTGCACAATTGGTGGCTGACTAAATACTTTTTTGCCCCACTGTAAATATATCAAACTCTTATGTGTCACCAAAAATGGCAAAAATAAAGGAATACAAATGTGAAGCCAGTGGAACACACGCCACTATGCATACGTGATCCCACAGCAACCATCTTGGATTCTGGAATACAAGTTGTTTATAAGATATGAAGTACCCAATTGTCATCTCTTCATTGTAAGTGCATTTACCACATTAAATTGTTGTTTTAATCAGGATTAGACTATGGAGAGCCTGTGTTTTTCTTTTTCATGATACTATGTCCAACTGAGTATATATGCACAGTGATCTGATATAACGTAGCAGTACCATCATTTGACATGTGGTTTTGAGGAAAGCTGGATATCTTGGATTGATATACAAGTGCTGGTTGACCACTCTTAATTGGGGGTCATGTGATTCTGGTAAGCCTCCCTTTGTTGTACACCGAGGTGCTGTGTGGTTCGTCATTAAGAGGTTTTGGTGGCATTTGACATCCACATCGGTCATTTCCCTCATAAATCGAAGAATGAAAGAACTCACAGTTTTTAGCTTCACATTTGGATTCCTTTATTTTTTCAATTAATGGTGACACATAAGAGTTTGATATATTTGCATTGCACCAATTTATTGCACATACATATTAATTTCTCCTTAGCGTTGCACTATCATTTTGTGACACTAGACCATCTGTCTGTAGTGTAAATGGAGATGTTCACAAAATGGTTTGATGTTTTGTTAGACAAAATGCACCTAGGAACTTTTCACTACCTATCTAAAGTTTGGTGCTTACACTTATCCATCGATTAGATGGCAAATCTGCCGGCATTCAGTAAAGACATTGATAACGCAATTTCTTTCAGGATTGGTATCAGTAATTCTTTTGAGAACATTTGCCATTATATAGCTGGATGAAAAAGAGAAAGGGACCAAGGAGGATCTGTACTACTAGTACACATGATGGAAGTGCCACATTTTGTATAGGGCTGTGTATTGGCTGGAGCTCAGTGGATTGAAATTACAAGCAGGGGCGGACTGACAACTCATGGGGCCCCCGGGCAATAGGGGATCCTTGCCCAAACTAAAAAAAAAGCCTATGAAAAAGGTACCAGAGGCATCTTATGGGGCCCCCTACTGACCCCGGTCCCTCGGGCAGTGCCCGAGTTTCCAAAATGGTCAGTCTGCCCCTAATTACTAGTACAGGCTCTTTCACCTATGCGGGCCCATTTTACTTACAACAAATGAGGTCTACTTGAAGTCCATGTTACCGCCATTGTCTGTAATATGACTACGAATAACTGGCTCCCTGTAGTATAAAATGCAAACACTACATCATGTAGTGCATTAGAGCACTATATTCATCAGATACTGACCTGTATCCTGTCTGTGTAGTTATCCAGCAACAAGACACCAGAACTGGTCACCTTTTTGGTCTCCACCATGGTCTTTAGGTCAGCCAACAGGCTCATGTGTTTGGACATGTCAGTGGCTAGAACCTGGTAGGAGAAGAAAAACTGTTATTTTTGGAATATCTTTCCCCTGTAACAGATCTTTAAGTGCAACATGAGACACAATGGAAAACATTACACATATAATAATCAGGATCTTGAGTTGTCTACCTTTATTAAGGGAGACATAGCTATCAGTAATTGCACAATATATCATTATCGAGGACCGTCTGTTGGCCAAAATGACTACTTTAGCTTTGAAATTTTTTTTTTTTTAATGGTTGAACTGAATGGACTTTTGTCTTTTTTTCAGCCAAACTACGTAGGGCTCTTGGTTGACAGCCTCCGCTACAGAGTCCATCTAAAAACAGTCCACCTACTTACCTCTGTTCCACATCGTCTTCATTCTAAGCTCTTCCATTACCCTAGAGAAGACACCTTTTCAAAGCTACAAACCTACACTCACCGGCCACTTTATTAGGTACACCTGTTCAATTGCTTGGTAACACAAATTGCTAATAAGCCAATCACATGGCAGTAACTCAATGCATTTAGGTGTGTAGACGTCGTGAAAATGACTAGCTGAAGTTCACAATGAGCATCAGAATGGGAAAGAAAGGGGATTTAAATTAATTTGAACGTGGCATAGTTGTTGGTGCCAGACGGGCTGGTCTAAGTATTTAAAAAACTGCTGATGTGGGATTTCCACGCACAACCATCTCTAGGGTTTACAGAAAATGGTCCAAAAAAGAGAAAATATCCAGAAAGCGGCAGTTGTGTGGATGAAATTACCTTGTTGATGTCAGAGGTCAAAGGAGAATGGGCAGAGTGGTTCAGCTGCGACATTCTGGTCAGAATTTGGTGTAAACAACATGAAAGCATGGATCCATCCTGCCTTGTATCAACAGTTTAGGCTGGTGGTGGTGGTGGTGGTGGCACTAGCAAAGTGTACCTAATAAAGTGGCTGGTGGGTGTATGTCAAAGCCAGTGACTAAGTTGTATCAACCATCAGCTTCTTATAGTTCACATGGCCTGCAGATATAGTGCTTGATCATAATACTTTGCATATTTTCTTCCTACCCACCAAGCAGTTTGGAGTTTACCTGTTGCTAGAGCAAGTTAAAACTTTTAAGACCGACACTAACTAGTTCTCAGGAGGAAAATACAGATACAGAAAGGAGCTGTGAAAACTATGATTTTTAATAGCTCCCTTGTTCCTGCCTATTATATCTGTCTTAAGTTTTCAGTGCTACCTGCCATCGATCATTCTGTACACAAAAAAAAACATAAGTCAAACAGACATTTGCTACAATAGAAGACCTTAGAGGTCACGTTTAGATTGCATTGATGGGCACTTCTTTTTCAGTAGCCTGCAACAGATCTGCCTGTCCTTCGTGATGCAATCATGGGAAGGGCCCTCAAGTAAGGACATCTTTCATTCCACATAGGAACAAAAATAAAGTCTCCGCCTTGAAAGTATGGACTTGGCAGACCTTTTTTTTTAAAGAGAACTGGTCTCTGAATAAAAAAAAAAACAAATTGCTGTAGATTTAAAATTAGGACATTTACAGGTGAAAATAACTGTTGAAGCTTCAAAAAGCCTTCAGATATGGCCAAATGCTGTGCCGTTATGACAAGCGTTGCTCCAACACTTCTTCATAGTTCTGTTGCTTGCTTGCCCCTTTCCTGTCTTTTGCACATTCCTACTGGCAAGTGAGACTGTTCATCACAGTGATGAGCAAATAGCATGAGGAGTGGGACTTGAAACTTTGCTTAAGAGAATGGCCTGGGATTTGGCCGTACCTTCAGGGTTTTTATGTGCTATATAGGTACTTGAACTTTATATCTGAAGCAGGCTTATACTACTTCTGCTTCATAATGTATTGGGTACACCTATCCCCAGACAATGGGGGTCTAACCCTTTCATTGCCAGGGATGTAGTCCACACTCTGTAGGGTATACCATCACCCTAGGTGGCCAATGGGGTATTAAATATGTCATTGCATAATAGTTCTAAAACAAGAGCACTGCATCCAGAGGTTTGCTTGAATCTTAGGGCACAATGTAAGCCATAAAAGCAGTGTCCTGTGCTGTCTCTTTCAGGTCCATGCTCAGTTGAGCACCAGGAACTAGGGTGTAGATCAGGAACAACCCACAACAGTAAAGGGATTAATAAAAATCGTCCAAAATACACTAAAAAACATTTAAAGAAAGCTACACTCTTCCCTGACCCTTTTTTCAAAGCAGAACTCCGGGCAAAAACTTCTTTACATGTCCTTGTTGCAAATTTCCTATCTTCACTGAATCCATCCATCTTCTGGTTTACTCAGTAGTTGCTCTGAAATAGCCTATTAATTTTCAAATCAAACTGTTAATTCTGTTTGGTTTCCGGTTTGTAAGACCAGTGGCTGCTATGCCTCCTATTCCCCCAGCCACTGGTCTTAGCACATCCCATCTGTAGTTCTTTCTCCAGGAAGCAGTGATATAATTCAACCTCACTTGTTGGGTTGGGCGGACCGGGACTCTCAGATACATTCAGTATGTACAGGCCTAGTTTACCCGCCCACATTCACTACAATTTCCTTTGGTTCATGGGAACTGTAGTTTCCTGAGAGGAGAGGAGAGGATATGATGTAATCCATGCTGTTACACCTCCTCCTTGGCAGTTAGATGCTGTTATCATTTGAATTATAGAGATGACTTCCTGAAAATTCAGTTGGACTTTTGTCTGCAATGGTAAGCAATTTCACAAATGTATCAACTGTTTAGTGTTTTGTATAGGAAGGTGTACTAATGGGTGATTTTTTTGCCTATCCCAGAGTTCTTCTTTAGGTTTTATGAATGGGGTGCAGTGCATCTCTGAAAATACCTGAGCCATGGATAACCCTTTCCAGCTCCTGGAGATTTCCAGTGCTCTTTTATGCCTCTGACACGTACCAGTTGTCAGGGGTGTTGGTCCTATGTCATGCAGAGCTGCTCTCATGCTTTATTCACTGACATACAAGTAATCGGAGGACTTTGCTCATGTAAGTCAGCAATGCCGTGTTTGTGGGCCTGTGTGATAATAAATCACACTTGTCTTGTAGTATGATCTTTGTGCAGATGCAGGACGCATGCACAGTTGGAAAATTTTTCTTTTTTAAAAATGTCTGTAGTGACCAGAAATAATTGTATAAAAAGAATCTGGGTTACACAAAGTTATTAATTCAAATTTACACATATAACATAAATCTGGAAACATTTAAACAATTACAGTGAGCTTTACTTAATTTGTAACTTTTACGATTGAACATCCTTCCCAAAAGCAGACGCCACAAGATGGTGTGCCTCTCTGATTTAGTTTCACTTTTTAACTGGGGTCTGACTTAAATGGCTACGCTCCACCAAATGGACCCCTGTCTAGCGATTCTGCCTTTACTATTCAACAAGACAATCTTATTAAAACACAAGGATGGCAGTTGGCGGAGCACAGAAGAAGCTTTTAGTAACAGCAGGCATCTTGTAGTCACACATCCTAGAAGGCACTTGTATAAACTCATTCATCAGTTGTGTCACTGAAAGGACAAATGTCCCTGAATTGTTGTCCTTTGGGCTGAGCTTTCACTCCTAAACACATACGATGCCAAAATAAGCCGGTTTCTGGTTTTAGAACAAGAGACAGTGCTGAACAAGGCTAGTGCTGGAGGTGACCATGCAGAGTACGACTGCGCTCCGCAGGAAATAAAGCCCCGCTGACAGGAGTGACACTGCAGTGATAAGAGAGCTGATGGAGCTCCCAGTTCACTCTTCTCTTGCACACAGAGATGCTGCATTTGAAACTCGTGCCCTTTAAACCCGCATGATCCTGGCCTAGAAGACACAACGTTAGCACACATTTGCTAGCTTACCATATCTATCACCATCTTCCTCATCGTTTGCCGCTGGCGTTTGGTCAGGTTTTGGAAGATGTCGCAGTTCTCCTCTTGAAGTAGCTTGAACCCCACAGCCAGGTGATGATTCTCCAACACGGACTCATCGTTGTACATTAGCGCCAGTTCTGAATCTAAGAAGGATAGAAAAATAATCCATTTGTCACAAATCACAACAGACATTATATATGAGTCACACAGGCCACTCTCACTACATTACAGGCTTTGCAGTGTTGGGTGGTATAGACTGGTTGAGAGTAGGGAGAAGGCAAAAGTCTTATTTGGCCATTCTGCCATCCCAATCACTGCTATTTAGTCATTTTGTGCAAATATATTCCATGTGTATTTGGCTACATGGAATCAATACTCCAGAAGTCAGACTTGGCCTACTTTTTCTATCTGAGTCCCGGAGAGCAAAATGATGCCTGACATGCTACATCAATCACGGTTTTATAAATCTGGTTTGATAAATTAAAACATGTTGTGCATGTTGGTCCTAAATCTATCACATCAGGGATATGGGTACCCTGATGAAGTCAGTTGGTTTACATTTGAAACGTTTTGGATTTCTTTCACCCATTGCTCGCTAATGTATGTCAAGCTGGTCCCTTGTTACGTCAAGGAGAGATGAAGGGTTTAAAATCCAAGACCAGGCAACTAAAAAAATTATTCACACTGCAAGGGTTAATGGCGCATTTTCTCTAAGGGAAAGAACAAACAGTTTAACTTATCTGATGCTCGGTTCCCCAGTAGGTGTCCCCCCACACTGCGGTGGTGGACTGTCTCTATCACGTTCCATTGCAGGCCTATAGACCCTTCCAGAAATAAAGGTAAACCAAGGAAAAGACGCCACTCAAACCAACCTGATATGATTTTGCAATGTATGGCTGCTGCTTCGATCCTGCCATGCGACAAGTTTCGCTCCGCCCACTGGGGGGGGCTTGTGATCAAGCTGTGGTGGGTGGGGAGAAACACGTCAGGGGTGTGGCCAGAGCAGCACCAGCTGAGACCATACATCGTAATTATATCAGGTCAGTTTGAGCGGCGTCTTTTCCTCAGTTTACCTTCACTTTGGATTGGTGCACTCAGACTCCTGCTCCCATGTGCGGAGTACCAGCAGGGGGATCCTGAAGCCTCTAACTTGGAGTGGCACTACAAGCCTTTCATGACCACAGGGCTATGGACCTTGTTTTGATGTTGATGTAGTCAGGACCTTAGACCATTTGGGCTTGGGAAGGGGAGATACGGGGCCCAGCAGAGGACTGGGTAGGCAATTTTTTTTTTTGTTCTCCTAGACCAAACGAGCAATTAACCCTTGCAGCCCCACTGCAAGGGATCAGTTTTTAGTTGCCTAGAGTTAGGCTTTACATCTATTATTCCATGGCTGACTGTGTGACATCTACTTATCCTGAAAGGACCCCAGATATGTAACTGGCCTGTGTGCTCTGAGTTACAATTACATTTATAAGAACGATGAATTGTTGCCATTAGAGAGCTACCTTGTGAAAGAACGATTGCCTGGTTTGGCCTTTGAATGGCTTGTCACAGGGGCTGATTGTTATTACAAAGCTTGTTACAATGTTTAGTGCAACAAAATCTTGCAGAGAGACGCTTTGTATCTAACAATGGAACACAGCATGTACAAAAGATGCAACCAGGATTTCAGGACAAACGTGCCTAAAAAAAAAAAAAAAAAAAAAAAAAAAAAAAAAAAAGAGGCTGAAAACCTCAAAATGGTCTGCAACTGGGACCATTGAAAACAAGAGATGACTTAGGCATGGGTCCTATCATCTGTATACTATTTGTACTTTTACACTCCCCATATTTAACTATTTCGCTCACTGACTGGCCGATGGCATTATTTGGCCATACAGATAGTCCAGGAACTGGTGGTATAAGACATATTTATATGTATTCCATAATAATTGAGGCTCCCATGGAGTGCAGGCAGACTTTTAATAATACAACTTTGTCTTTTATTTTTTTTATTTTTTTTATACTTGACAGCAAATGAGAACTGGGTATCCTCAATCATCCAGTACATAGTGTCTTAGGGCATCAGACAATTTGGTACACATTTGCATATATAACAAAAATGTAACGTTGGTCTAATGTCTTTTATTTCTTAGCTGGGATTGGTTGGGGGTTACCTCTCTTGCAAAATGCAGTGTACTACAATGGACAGATACCTTATGGGTTTGTTCACCTACCAACACACTACACCCTTCCCCAACTCCCCCCTGGCCTCCACTGTACTTACCTCCATGCTTGATGAGCTGTCAGTGTGCCCATGTGGCAGTCCAGGGATTTGAAATCCTCGTTCTTTTCCCTCTTCTCCGTGCAGCACTTCTAGGGTGGATCAGAGTGATTCTGATTGGTCAGTGCTGGCACAGAGCATTGAACTGATCAGTCCTGGTGTGCTGCATGGAGAAGAGTGAGGATTTCAAATCCCCAGACCGCTACACAGGCTGCGTGGGCACTGACAGCTCAGCACTCACAAAGGTAGGTATAGCAGGGACTGGGAAGGGGGGGGGGTAGGTTGGGAAAGGAGAACAACTTTTTTTATTTATGAAAGAATTTTAATAAATTAATCAAATTGTGCCACAAGCATACAGGACCATAAGATTCTCCAAGAATGATATGGACCAGTCACTAATGCTATGAATAATGTTTACTCAGACTGAAGCTGGGTGCTAGGCTTCTGTTATACCAGCCTACACTTTCCAGCCTGGAAAAAAAAAGGGATGTCATCAGAATTCTGGGGAAAAGACACACCTGTCACCCCCCCTAAACATATGTCCACAACTTCAAAAATTAAAAAAAAAAGCCAAAGAATTTATGAATGTGGAGAGCATGCTTTTCTGCTTCACAGATTATTCATCATCGAATCACATGCAAATGTATACAGCCACCTTAAAAGAGAACCAGTCATCAGTGGACATTGTTTTTACCTGAATCTCAACACCTGATTTGTAATATACCTGCAGTCTCAGCTCCCATAGATTACTTGATGTTTGACTATTTACTTCTAATCTCTACCTGTCAGCAGAAGCAGCAATATGAGTGTTAAACTGTAAGCCTCTAATCAAAGCTCATCTATCTCCTGCCTGAGCCCAGTGCTGAAAACAGACACTGAAAAAACTGACATATAACAAGCTGTTAGTATTTCATAAAAGTTTTGTTTTGCAGTGTTCTCGTCTGCTATTATCCCAAACAAAGAATCAGGTGTCAGTCCGGAGCTCAGACAGAAGATAGATCAGCCTTTGTGGTGGTCAATAGTACAGACACACAAGGTGACACAGGTTAAAATGTCAATTAAAAGGTTAATTTCCCACATCTGTGGCTTTTTAAATTGCAATGATTGTCTGTGTATAAATAGTCAATGCGTTTGTTAGCTCTCATGTGGATGCACTGTGCATGCTAGATCCTGAGCCCTGGGGAGCAGAAAAGAACTGACAGAGAACCGTTACCTGCGTAACAAGGTAATGGAACTTTATAAGCTAAACAATGTGGAGCTTTTTATAGAATTTCATTGTAATTAGCATTGCAATGACAATATATTATTTATTTATTTAGTTTTTTTTACCTATTTATAGATGGAAAGGATATAAAAAGATATCCAAAACCTTGAATATGTCAATCAGTATTTTTCAATCACTTATTAAGAAGTAGAAATTCAGGAATCAAAAGGCAATGCCTCAAAACAGCCCAGATTCAATATGCCCGAGAACACTTTGACATGCCTCATCGCACTTTTCGGTTACACCGGCGCAGTAAACACTTCTTTCTGGCAGCTCACTTTTGTTCAAGTATCATATCGCCATATTGTGCTCCTAGAAACAACCACACTGTCTTTTTCAAGAGCAGCCTGTACTTCTCCTGAGGTTACCTGTGTTTTTATTTGTATCTTGAACAATTATTTTGGTAGTTATGGCTGCAATCTTTCTTGGTCTACCTGACATTGGCTTAGTATCAAGAGATCCCCACATTTTTCACTTCTTAAGAAGTGATTGAACAGTACTGACCGGCATATTCAAGGTATTGGACATTGGACATTTCTACCTTTATAAAGCTCCATTACCTTGTTACACAGGTCTTTTGATATTTCTTTTCTGCTCCCCATGGCTCAGTATCTAGCCTGCTTAGTGGATCCACGTGAAAGCTAACAAACTCATTGACTAGTTATACACAGACACTAACTGCAATTTAAAAAGCCACAGGTGTGGGAAATTACCTTTAATGGTCTTTATAACCCGTGTGTCACCTTGTGTGTCTGTACCAAGGCCAAACATTCCAGGGTATGTAAAGTTTTGATTATGGCCATTTTGGTGATTTCTGTTATCATTATGATTTAAAAAGGAGCCAAACAACTATTTGATAATAATTGGCTTCATATGATCATCATCCTTAAAGAAAATAGTTTTTTGGTATGATCAGTCATATTTTCAATATCAATGCCAAAATGTCATGCTTCCTGCCAGGGTATGCAAACTTTTGAGCACAACTGTACATTATTATTTTATATCAGAGTGTAGATTCATATTCTTACAAATTATTATTTCTGACAGTTTCGCTTTACTTTTCTTTTTTCTTCTTCACAGAGTGGGTTTCTTTTTATCAGAAATGACACTGGAGTTGTCTTATGAGGTCAGTTAAAATATAAGAAATATTTAGACGCATAATCCCACGCTACAATTTTACAACATAAGGGGAAGAAGCCTGACTGGGCTGACAGCTGGCATTAATAGTGGACAGATGTTTTAACCTGCGGCTACCCTAAACCATTTATACTTTGGAGATTTCCCCACAATATAATCTTCTTTATCTACATAAGATGTTGGATCCACTTACTTGTATTAATAAGAAACTGATTGGAAACTCCGGGATGGTCCACATCATGGATGGCAGCTGCAAACAATGCTGCTAGGATCTCCAGATCTGTAAACACGGCCTGGGGAAGAAAGACATGTCAGCGGTCAGACACACACACAGGGCACCTTCTCATGCGTTGTGTACAATGCACCCATCTTAGGTGATCGGGACAAGTCTCCGGAATTATCAGTACAATAGGAGAGGGTGCTCATTGCAACCACGTCTTCATGCATTTTATAGGCAGAAAGAGGTCTAGTCTCTAGATGCCAGCTTCAGCGATACATGACTACAATCAGTTGTAAAAACTAGTAGTATTATCTCTTGACCAATACTGAAATTAGGATTTGTTTCAAAAATAGTCCACAAATGTTTCAATCGAAAACAGGGGTCTCAAAGCTTTCTAAACACAGGGCCAGTTTATTGTCCTTCAGATTTTAGAGGGGACTGAAGTGGGAGCAGAAAATGTCCTGGCATAAGTGAAAAATGCCCCATCTTTGGTATTGGGGGGAGGAATGGTGCCCCATTGTTTGTGTCAGTGGGGAGGAATGGTGCCCCATTGCTGGTGTCAGTGGGGAGGAATGGTGCCCCATTGCTGGTGTCAGTGGGGAGGAATGGTGCCCCATTGCTGGTGTCAGTGGGGAGGAATGGTGCCCCATTGCTGGTGTCAGTGGGGAGGAATGGAGCCCCATTGCTGGTGTCAGTGGGGAGGAATGGAGCCCCATTGCTGGTGTCAGTGGGGAGGAATGCAGCCCCATTGCTGGTGTCAGCGGGAGGAATGGAGCCCCATTGCTGGTGTCAGCGGGAGGAATGGAGCCCCATTGCTGGTGTCAGCGGGAGGAATGGAGCCCCATTGCTGGTGTCAGCGGGAGGAATGGAGCCCCATTGCTGGTGTCAGCGGGAGGAATGGAGCCCCATTGCTGGTGTCAGCGGGAGGAATGGAGCCCCATTGCTGGTGTCAGCGGGAGGAATGGAGCCCCATTGCTGGTGTCAGTGGGAGGAATAGTGCCCCAAGTGTCGGATAAAGTCAAGCACAGGGCCGCAGTTTGGAGACTACTGAGCTAAAACATTTCTTATTCTCTTATAAAAATGAAACGTTATCTTTATAGAATGAATTGAAAGTAAAAAACTGAACAGAGGACATATTTCAATAGATTTGATAAAGTTTTATAATTATAAGAATTCATCTTTTTTTTTCCTTAAATCAGTTTTTTCAAGCTATAAAAATCCAAATAACCCATTTCCACCTGCAATCTATAAACCAACATTTCAATGGATGTCATTTATTATGCTTATCCCCAGTATATCCTCCATTTGAAATCCACCAACCAACAGTTTGCACGGCCAAAAGCTCTCAATCCCGGATGTCACTGACCGCTCCAGTGCTTATTAGCCGAAACCAATCAGGGTAGTTCCTGATCATTTGATCACTTTGTCAGCTATGACAAAGTTATCACAAGTAGACTGGAGCTTTCGTTAACAAAATAAACCTGGCCATACATTAGTAGATTGTCTAACGAACATTTGCATGGACAGTCATACAATAAAGAGTGCATTTGATGACTTAACCAATATCGTTCAAAAGTACTTAAAACATTTTTTTGCTTTTTAACATTTGATTTTGGAGTGAATGGACTTTCCTGAATGAAAACCACTTTCAATGTTAGCAATTTGTTCGAGAAAACATTTCAGTAATGTTGCTCCGATTTTTCTCTTCACTGTGGTGGAAAACGAATGTCAATTTGACATATGAGAGTTTCTGGTGGTGCTGTTCTAAGCTGGATAATAAGACAAGAATCACCCCACCGGCAGGGAAAGGTAGCAGGTGTCCCTGAGCAATTTCCAGTATAGCGGATAGGAATTAAGGAGCGGCATCCACCTCTATCTCCTATCAGTTATACTGAATATCAATCTGACACCATTAACGATTAGAAAATCAAAGAAAAGTTCTTAAACATTTTCAAACAAAATTCCATTAGTGCATGGCCAGCTGTAGTATTCAGCCTGCCTGTGGCACTGTTCATCTATTTAAAATGATAATTGTCAGATACAATTACAGTATTTGAAAAAATTAAATAAAATGTTTTATATATATATATATATATATATATATATATATATATATATATATATATATATATATATATATATATATATATATTACTATATAAAAAAGGTTTATAAAATAATTTTTTTCTTTTTTACCAGCCCTTTTCCAAAACCTTTTTAACAGTGTATTAAACATCCTTAAAAAAATAAAAAATACTCACTTGAGTTATGCAAATGACATTATTAGTTATTATAGTTATTGTAAAGTTAACAAACACTTGCCAATGCTGCTATAGTTGGCTTGGGGGCATCTAAGCATTAATGACCTGTGGTCATGAAAAGGTTAATAAAAATCTGCAGAAATTGCATCAAGAGCCATCAATTTTATAAGTCTCTACAATGTTATGAGAGATGATAATACGAATAAAAGGTCTTCACAATGCTATGAGACGAGCCGTTTTTCATTTCATTTGCTGCGGTACAAGAGTTGGGGGTTACCGCATACACGGCAGTAAGGAATTAATATTTCTAGATCAACAGTCAAAAAGATGGAAGGAATTATAGCGCGATAGCAGATTTTGTTCTGGCTGACTCCGCTGGAAAGATTGCAGCTTTTGCTGAATACGTGAAATGTTTATACTCTGTATTTCCGGTGTACAGATCAGTTTTTCACTGTCATTCATTATTAAACAGAACCCAACACTAGAATGACTGAATTGGCTGGACAATCTAAGAGTGCAGAGAACTGTGAAGGAAATAAGGTGGAGGCCTCCGATCACGTCATCAGGCCCTGGCTCGTGTTACCTGTGACGTCCATGTTGCCATCTCCATCTGTTTACATTGTGCATTATTAATATTTTTAGAGGGCTCGGAAGGATAGCCTGTAACGCGATCATACGCGCTCACTCTGCGATTTTGGTTTGTCTGTGGACTGAACCTACCAAGAAAGTGGCAAATACTTCTAACCATTTCTGCTGAAATGCTCCATTTTGTGGAGTTCTGGTAGATCACAAGCTTAATAATGGCATGCAATGCCAAGCTGCGGTTTCTAAAGCGAGCAAAATCCTCTCTTGTATTAAAAGAGGTATAGACTCCAGAGAGAGAGATATCATTTCCCCCGGTACAAATCATTAGTAAGACCTCATCTGGAATATGCAGTTCAGTTTTGGGCACCAATTCACAAAAAGAACATTGGGGAACTGGAGAAAGTACAGAGAAGGGCAACCAAACTGATACGAGGCATGGAAGAGATCAGATATGAGGAAAGATTAGAGGAACTGAATTTATTCTCTCTTGAAAGAGGCGATTAAGGGGGGATATGATCTCCATGTATAATACATAAGGGGGATATGATCACCATGTATAATACATAAGGAGGGATATGATCAACATGTATAATACATAAGGGGGGATATGATCACCATGTATAATACATAAGGGGGGATATGATCTCCATGTATAATACATAAGGGGGGATATGATCTCCATGTATAATACATAAGGGGGATATGATCTCCATGTATAATACATAAGGGGGGATATGATCACCATGTATAATACATAAGGAGGGATATGATCTCCACGTATAATACATAAGGGGGGATATGATCACCATGTATAATACATAAGGGGGATATGATCTCCATGTATAATACATAAGGGGGGATATGATCACCATGTATAATACATAAGGGGGGGATATGATCTCCATGTATAAATACATAAGGGGGGGATATGATCACCATGTATAATACATAAGGGGGGATATGATCTCCATGTATAATACATAAGGGGGGATATGATCTCCATGTATAATACATAAGGGGGATATGATCTCCATGTATAATACATAAGGGGGATATGATCTCCATGTATAATACATAAGGGGGGATATGATCTCCATGTATAATACATAAGGGGGGATATGATCTCCATGTATAATACATAAGGGGGGATATGATCTCCATGTATGATACATAAGAGGGAATATGATCACCATGTATAATACATAAGGAGGGATATGATCTCCACGTATAATACATAAGGGGGGATATGATCACCATGTATAATACATAAGGGGGATATGATCACCATGTATAATACATAAGGGGGGATATGATCTCCATGTATAATACATAAGGGGGGGGATATGATCTCCATGTATAATACATAAGGGGGGGATATGATCTCCATGTATGATACATAAGGGGGAATATGATCACCATGTATAATACATAAGGAGGGATATGATCTCCACGTATAATACATAAGGGGGGATATGATCTCCATGTATAATACATAAGAGGGGATATGATCTCCATGTATAATACATAAGGGGGGGGATATGATCTCCATGTATAATACATAAGGGGGGATATGATCTCCATGTATGATACATAAGGGGGGATATGATCTCCATGTATAATACATAAGGAGGGATATGATCTCCACGTATAATACATAAGGGGGGATATGATCACCATGTATAATACATAAGGGGGATATGATCACCATGTATAATACATAAGGGGGGATATGATCACCATGTATAATACATAAGGGGGGGATATGATCTCCATGTATAAATACATAAGGGGGGGATATGATCACCATGTATAATACATAAGGGGGGGGGGGGATATGATCTCCATGTATAAATACATCAGTGGTTCATATAGTGAACTCGGTGTAGAGCTATTCACCCTGAGGTCATCACAGAGGACAAGGGGGCACTCTTTACGTCTGGAGGAAAAGAAATGTAATCTCCAAACACGGAAAGGTTTCTTCACAGTGAGAACTGAAAATGTGGAATAGACTCCCTCAAGAGTTGGTTCTGGCCAGCTCAGTGGATTGCTTTAAAAAAGTCCTGAATTCTTTTCTAGATACACAGAATATAACTGGATACTAACATTTATAGGTAAAGTTGATCCAGGGAATATCCGATTGCCTCTCGGGGGATCAGAAAGGAATTTGTTTCCCTGCTGGTTTTTTTTTGCCTTCCTCTGGATCAACTGTGGGTGTAGGATTATAACTTTTTTTTTTTATGGTTGAACTGGATGGACTTTTGTCTTTTTTCAGCCAGACTAACTATGTAACTATGCTTCTTTGATTGGCTATTGCAGTGGAAGGATGGGGTGTTAGATATATTTTACCTCTATAGTTGCAGCTCCAGCCTTGACATATACTTTTTTAAATGGCTTTTTTATGGGTAATCTCATGGTACATCTTATTCAAAGGGCCGATGTTACAACGCAGCCCTTATATATACACAGAAAAAAGAATTACGTAGAAGTAAATACAATCAGCCCTACAATACCATTATAAGCAGAAAAAGTACTATGAACCTAAAGGGTTTAGGAAAAATTACTTGGTGTGTGACATTCAAGAGCAATTGCAACAAAAATGTATTTCTCCATTTTGGGCTGAGGGTGCGGGCTCTTTAGTTTATCTTTTACTTTCTGAAAAGAAACAAGAAAAATCCTATGCATGGAGTCCAATGGGGAATTCCATAAGCAGCTATGTTACTGTGTATCTTCTAGTGGGGTTTCCAAACTATGACCTGTGGGCCACTTCTGTCCAGCTACAAGATTTTATCCAGACCCTATCTAGAGTCTATAATGTAACCTCAATGTGCACGGATTGAGAATTCAGGTCAGCAGAGATTAACTGTGGTCTGCTCTTCTGATGTAAGTGGGTGCTCTGATGGGGGCCCTGATGTAAGGGGGGGGGGGGGGTATCGTATGTACTCTCCAGCGGCTCAGGAAATGCACAGCCAAAAGGGAAGCCAGGGGAGCCAGGACAGAGACAACCAAAGGAAATGCTTCAGGGGTCCAGCCCTCCTCAGAAGGGGAGATCAGCCACTAGATAGAGAATAAACAGGTGGCTCACACACCTAGTGCATTATCCAAGGTTTATTGAAAGGTATAAAAGGTAAAAACATACTCACAGATGAAGCATGTATCTAAAAAGCATTTGATAATGACGATGGCCACAACGGCAAGCAAGGTGTTCCAACTGTCAGTTCTCTACTTCCTCCTCTACTTGTTATAGGGTGAGGAGTTGGCAGTATTATTACTATGATAATTTTTATATTTATTTTTATTCATTTCCATTTGCAAATGATGCATTCATGTATATATAATTTTTTATTCGCTTTCACTTTTAGTGCATGTATGTATGTATGTGTATATATATATATATATATATATATATATATGTGCGTTTATAGAAATTACCAAGTATTGCACTTTAAATAACCCCCTTCAACTCCTCGCCCTATAACAAGTAGAGGAGGTGGAGCTCTGCTACCAAGGCATCTAGCCATGGTAATTTACAGCTTGACCTTCATACAGGCTGGTCAGTAGCTCTGAGGAACGGGATCCGTCCCTGAAACTAAGCTAAGCTACTACAGATGATCACTGCAACATATTACACACCAAAAATTGTCACTGTTACACTTCATAAATAATCGTGATGACGACGACAACTACAACGGAATGTGTGATTTCTAATTTAGTCAGGCAACCTGGTCTTGGTTAAAGCTCAACTCCAGCCAAACCTTTTTATTCTGTTCTGAAGAAGGGGTTAGACCCCAAGCACATACATGTAATACACTGGTACATAGAAAACGTCACTCTGCTTAGCATCATCTTACATCTAATGCCGGCGTGGAGAGGAGGACATGTGTGGACTGTGTGACATCGGCGGCATGCAAGCTGTTGTGGTAGGCCACATCCGCATGGTAATGGTCTTCTAGGGTCATCAAGTAAGTGATTAACGTGTCCACGGGAATCTTGAAGGTCTTACAAAGCTCTCTCTCCTGAAAAAAAAAGAAGAGATATTATGAAGTCTCAGTTTACTTCAGTAGTCACAATCACGTTAAGGGTGGCCAAATATTCTTAGGGTTCATGTACACGGGGCGTTTATAAAACTCTTCTGAATGATGGAAGCTGACTGCTGGAAAACGTAGGTTAAAAAACGTCAGTTTAGCCATGTTTGCACACCGCGTTTATGAGCGTTTGTGTTTAATAGATAACCTCAGACCTTCCCAAATGCCCTGAAAAACAGTAAAAAACTTACTATTTCAGACATTTTGAGAGAAATAGAGAGAGCAGAAGCAGAGAGAGCAGTATGTGTTGAGATGACCGGTCATTTCTGGTTGTATTCACTATGGATCCCATCATGAGCATAATGCGGCACGTTCTACCATTTTTTCCTTCACGCCAAACCAGGAACTGACTGTGCTGGTGTACCGGGTCCATTTGAATATATGGAAGACGCTTTGCATGCATTTCTGATGATGAAAAAGGTTCTGGACAGCATCTGGACATGGAACAGTTAAACGCTTCTAAACGCAAACTCTTATGAACGCGGTTAACCGCATTTACAAGCATTTGGCATTTGAAATGCCGGTAAAATCTACTCCTGAACGCAAGTTTGGTGCATTAAAAAAACACGACTGTAAACTCAACTGCCTGTAAACGACTGTAAACGAAGATGTGTACATGGACACATAGGAAAACTTTAGGGAGAGTTCAGGGGCAGCTGAAAAAAAAAACGCTGAACAGCTCCTGAATGTCAGTTTATCAGCTGCAGTGTACATGAACCCTTAGATTTCTCTTACTTGAACCCAAAGGCTGAGCAAAAAAAAAAAAAAAAAAATGTATAAATTTCCCCCATCCTCGGTAAATAATGGATGGATGAATTTCTACTGTACGCTGCTGTATTCCGACAACCTGCACTTTTCAGAACAGTGATGCAGCTGATTGGCAGATCCGCCTGGCTACTTCAATTTTTCAGATCATCAGGTGGAGTGGTGCCGAGAGGGCCACTCATTGACTATGTATGCCCACCTTCACACACATTAAATAATTCAGGGCCAACCAAGTTTTAGCTGTTTAGGTCTGTAAATATATATATCAGAAATAAGCTCAAAAAATGTAGCCTTCATTTATAATTACCCTTCGCACACACATATACATATATATATAATTCAGGACATCTTGATAGCTCACCCTACCTAGCAAGGTACATTCACCTAGTCCAGGGGCAGACTGACAACTCATGAGGCCCCTGGGCAATAGGAGATCATGGGGCCCCTGTGTCCTTGCCTAAACTCAAAAAAGCCTATGAAAAAGGTACCAGGGGCATCTCATGGGGCCCCCTACTGACCCTGGGCCCTTGGGCAGTGTCCGAGTTTCCAAATGGTCAGTCCGCCCCTGACCCAGTCACACTTGTCACCTCTTCGCTTCAGGAGTCAGCCCAGGGTAAACTCCGATGTCCCACAGTGTTCAGGCCTAGCAACTGGCCACTCAGCCTTGATCACTGTCACATGGAGGAGGGCGCATGTTCTCCCATACTCAGAAGCCCTGCCTGGTTAGAGAAAAAAGACTAAGCAGGCCAAATGTTTTACTTTTTCTTTCAACCAGTTGGGTTAAGAGAAAAACATATGTGCCGATTTCCCGCTCTGCTATTGTGTTCTCCTTCACCGGCAGCACTGAGCTTTTGGAAAAAAAAAAACCCTAACAAGGCTGTACAGAAGTCAATTGATAGATTGATGGGGGGAGGGGGGGCATACATGGATCACATGATCCATGTATGGTTGGCTTGAGGGCTCTGACACAGTGGCAAGAAGTGAAGATGGGTGAGAATAACTTGCTGGGAAGGATGGACTATCAGCAGGCACTGAACACAAGGTGACATTGTCTCTATAAGTGCTGTGGGGTCTGCCCTGGAAAATGACAAAATCAGCACCAATAGTTTTAAGAGCAACTTCACTTTTATTGAAATTGTCCTTTATAGCTCCCCTCCACTCTCATCATAACCCTCAGAGCAAAATACATATCTTCAGCCTTACTACCAGGATCTTTACTGTGTGGCCCTGCCTAGCCATTGTTTGCAAAAAAAAAGCCCTGGCCTGGCCCTATGCATGCGTGCTGCAGACTCACTCATTCTCATGGCTGGGGTCATCCTCCTAGAGAGGCGTATAGACCCATCCATGGCAATGAATGAGGCAGCGGCACACATGTACAGTTGACACAAGCCCAGCTGGGACTTTCTTTTTGTAAAGGATGTGTAGCACCAGGCAGGACCGCAGAGTGAAGACCCCCAGAGCAGACCTGAAGGTAAGTATTTAGGCCTAATGCACATTGGGCCTTGAAAAGCCACTTTTAGGAGTATTTAACTTTTTTTCCTGTGTTTAACCACTTCCCATCTGGCCCATCTACATAAACGGCCGGACGGGAGCAGTGCAGGAGCATGTGGCCGTTTATAAACGTTCTCCTGCATTCCCTGCCTGTGCGTGCTCCCTGGGAGCGTGTGGTACCGTGGTCCAGTGCCCGCTGTGTCCAGAGGACCGATCGCTGTACAAGACCTCTGTGCGAAGTCCCTATTTATGTGATCACTGATTGGCCAAGTAAGCAAGATGTCACTTCTGACATCATTGCTTACTACTTGTGAAATCTGTGAATGATCACAGAGGTCACATGGTACAAGGTTATTCACAACAGCCTTGTACCATGTGACAAGCTGTGACCAATCACAGCTCGCACAGCATTTCTCAATAGCTGCAAGAATACAGCCAAAGAGGAGAAATGATTGCTTTTACAGCCTTTATGGGTGTAAAAGCAATCAGTGTAAAAAAAGAAAAAAAATCTTCATCACCCCCCACAAGTAGTACAGTGTCACTATGGTGACATTGTACTGCTAGGGTGACATTATGTTAAAAAAAAAAAAAAAAACAAATAATAAAAAAAAAATAAAAATGTAAAAAAATGTTTTGAAAAATTAGAATTCTTGGTTATAAACTCATTTGGGTTATTTTTTTTTTTTACTAAAAAGATAATTGAATACATTTTGGCCAAGATTTACGAAGAAAGATTATTTGCTAAATTTTATAAGAAAAACACTTTTTTTCAAAATGTTTGGACTTTTTCATTTATATAACAGAAAAATAAAAATCCCAGTGGTGAATAAATACCACCAAAATAAAGTTTTATCTGTCTCAAAAAAATGCTAAAAAATTCATATGGGTACAGTGTTGCATGACCGCGCAATTGTCATACAAAGTGTGATAACACTGAAAGCTGGAAATTGGCCTGGACTGGAAGGGGGTGAAAGTGTCCGGGCTGGAAGTGGTTAAACACCCCTCAATGTTAGCCTGTGTGTCCATGCACGCATACTGTAGGCATTTACAGGCATTTAGAGGCAGAAACAAATCCCGCTGCCAGCATATTTAGGAGCAGCAGCGTTGTGGCAGAAAAAAAAAAAAATATTATTCTGGCCAATTGATTGAATTAAGACCCAAGCACTAGACATGGCTAAACGCGTTTACAAAATAGCAGCTTTAGGTGCGTTTTTGATGCTGCTTATTTCCTGCCAGGAGAAAGACATTCAGGAGCTGTTTGCCCCGCATGCATGAGGCCTTGGGTATGTGGACTACACTGAGGGGGGAGAGGAGGAGTTGTACTAAAACTGGAGTTGTCCTTTAAATTTAGATTGACTGTTGTGCAGCAATACAGACATTTGTAATCTCTCTCTTATAGATGAGGCAATGCAAAGGCCTTTTCTCCTTACACTGCCCATTCATAACATTATCTGACCTGTGTCAGCTTTTCTATACAAGTGTGCGAAAAAAAAAAATGGTTTGTGACCCCTACAGTCATCAAGCTGGTTCAAGGATTCGACAGGTCCAGAACAAGAACCTGAAAATGTACACAAATATCTGAAACTCTGTACAGGTGCGGGGACTTTCATACACCGGTTTCAATTATTATTAGCAGGCAATTTTTGAAATGTAAAAGGTAGATTTTAGAGGTTCCAAAATAAATTACTGTATCACCCAATATATGGCTTCCATCCAGTAGCCAAAAAATACTGAGGTGATGGTAACCAGGGCGATTGCCCATATGTCAATTATTAATGTGAAATAAAGCATAATTTTTTGGAAATTTTTCTGAGTATCGCATTCTGTTCATAATGTAGCCGCTTTTCTGTGAATTTCTTTTCACAAACCCTCAATTTGTGAAATGAACCCGTCATCTACACCCCTTTTTTAATTTCCTTCATCCAGGCTTATTTTCTCTTAAAGTGTCACAAAACCCGAGACCCTGCATTCGCTATATCCGCTCTCCCCGGACCCTGCATTCGCTATATCCGCTCTCCCCGGACCCTGCATTCGCTATATCCGCTCTCCCCGGACCCTGCATTCGCTATATCCGCTCGCCCCGGGACCCTGCAGTCGCTATATCCGCTCTCCCCGGGACCCTGCATTCGCTATATATCCGCTCGCCCCGGGACCCTGCATTCGCTATATCCGCTCGCCCCGGGACCCTGCATTCGCTATATCCGCTCGCCCTGGGACCCTGCATTCGCTATATCCGCTCTCCCCGGGGACCCTGCATTCGCTATATCCGCTCTCCCCGGGACCCTGCATTCGCTATATCCGCTCTCCCCGGGACCCTGCATTCGCTATATCCGCTCTCCCCGGGACCCTGCATTCGCTATATCCGCTCTCCCCGGACCCTGCATTCGCTATATCCGCTCTCCCCAGGACCCTGCATTCGCTATATCCGCTCTCCCCAGGACCCTGCATTCCCTATATCCGGTCTCCCCGGACCCTGCATTCCCTATATCCGGTCTCCCCGGACCCTGCATTCCCTATATCCGGTCTCCCCGGACCCTGCATTCCCTATATCCGGTCTCCCCGGACCCTGCATTCCCTATATCCGGTCTCCCCGGACCCTGCATTCCCTATATCCGGTCTCCCCGGACCCTGCATTCGCTATATATGGTCTCCCCGGACCCTGCATTCGTTATATCCGGTCTTCCCAGACCCTGCATTCACTATATCTGGTCTTCCCGGACCCTGCATTCACTATATCTGGTCTCCGGACCCTGACCCTGCATTCGCTATATATGGTCTCCCTGGACCCTGCATTCACTATATCCCGTCTCCCTGGACCCTGCATTCACTATATCTGGTCTCCCCGGACCCTGCATTCACTATATCTGGTCTTCCTGGACCCCGCATTCACTATATCTGATCTCCCACAGTACAAAGAACATGAAAATGCAATTATTTTAGTAATTATAAACTGCTAAAGACCTTTACTCATCAGCAGTATATAGCAGTTTTGTGACTTCTATCGGAGTCCAGCACAGCACTGGGTAAAGCGATTTTTTTTTTGTAAAACAATAAACATGTCTATACTTACCTGTTGTGTGCTGTGCACAAAGCAGCCTGGATCCTCCTCTTCTACGGTACCCCCCGCAGACTCTCCTGGCTCCTCCTATCTGCCAGGTGCCCCCACAGCAATCAGCTTGCTATGGGGGCACCCGCTACTCCATGTGTCCATTCACACATGGAGCTGCGGCTTTGCCCTGCCCCTATTTCTCCTCTCATTGGCTGATTGTCTGTAATTGACGCCTGCTGTCTCAGCCAATGAGGAGGCAGAGACCCGGGACAGCCGAGGCTGTCATTCACATCACTGGATCGCGATGAGGCTCAGGTAAGTATTGAGGGGTCTGGGGGCACTGCTGCACACAGAAGGTTTTTTTTACCTTCATGTATAGAATGCATGAAGGTAAAAAACCTTCAGCCTTTACAACCACTTTGAAGCTTGTCGGAGGAGTTAGCATCCTCCCCTGACTGTCCTATGTGGATGCAGAACCCCTGACCTCTGTTTGGACAACACTGATTGGCCCTGTGCTGATGCACTCTCACAAGAAAAAAAACCTCTCTAGCAATACACACCAAACTGAGCATGTGCAGCTTGCCCCCAAGACTGTTCTATCAGCAGATGGATTAAGGACTGTGGAAGAAGGGGACCATCAGAGAAGACAGGATGAAATTGCCTTTTTACACAATGCGGAGGATTATCCCCTTAGGTTCCATAGTGAGTATAACAAGCATGCTTTACTGTATATACTGACTGTACTGTTTTTTAACACTTTAAGTCTCCAGTGTCTTGACCCCTAGTGTGGGCATTACAGAAAATTAAGAAATTATATTGTACACAAAGGAATTTATCAAAGTGGCTGAAATAAAAACTGTCTGTGCCACTGACCGTAGTCAGGTAAAATGGCCCGGTCACCATAAGTAACACACAGTAATTCAGAAACCTTCATAAATGAGGCTCACGATGGTTTAGTAATGAACTTCCCGTTTATGGATTTCTCTAACACACCTTAGTGAGGTCCGAGGATGCTACTTACCTGGAATATGGTGTACATTATACAGCTCAGCGGACGGTTATTGGAATATTCCGCTACTCTGAAGATATTAAGGCCCCACTTGTTTAGATTATCCAATTCCTGGAACATACAGAGAAAGGTAAAGACTTAACTGGTTGATGAAATTACTCCTACAGGGAGACAAATCATAAAATGTGAGGTCCATGCTTTATAAGTTTTATGTTACGGCCATCAGCTCAGACTAGCCCAGTCCTGACGTTGACATATCAGCACTGTACCATTTCACAAACTGACAGATAAGTCATAAATCACTCCCATGTACAAGCATGCCAATCCTAGTTCAACCACAACACTACAATCCTGATGACGTCATATGACGAAACATGTAGGGTGGGGCTTGATAGGGCTACACTTTTCCCCTGAGAAGGAATTGCTTTTTGCTGGGAATTAAAGTGCCATACACATGGTTTTTATGTCAGTGCAATTTTAAACATTTTGTACCTAATAAATACGGTGTTACGCTATGGAAGTTTCCCTTTGATGTTTTTCCGGTGGTGGGAGTACTGTGGAGGTTCTGGAGGAGTTTTGTCGCAAACGATTGATCTAGAAGTGTTTCCACTATGGAGTCTGTCATCAGCGTATAGAGGTATCAAGACCACACAGACGGCCAACTTTCCTGCAGGAGAGCGCTGCAACATCTCATGCGATATTTGATCTACCATTCCAGGTGGTCAGTTATCTGTGGTGAGTGGGGCTCTGGAGGGGGAGCACTAATTGGAGCACTGCGCACAGAGAATTGCTATGGATAAGAAGACTTACTACCAGGGGCGGACTGACCATTTGGAAACTCGGGCACTGTCCGAGGGCCCGGGGTCAGTAGGGGGCCCCATGAGATGCCCCTCGTACCTTTTTCATAGGCTTTTTGGAGTTTGGGCAAGGACACAGGGGCCCACATGATCCCCTATTGCCCAGGGGGCCCCATGAGTTGTCAGTCCGCCCCTGCTTACTACTGTATCACTTAATATTCACACCGGATGCGGATGGGGGTTTCTTTGGGATTTTTTTTTTTTGGAACTTTCAAATTGTTTTGGAACTTTTATATGTTTGAACATTATTGGGACATATATATATATATATATATAGTTTTAGACAATTTCACTGTATACTCAGTTTATGGCATTGTATATGTGCTATTTTTAGCACTATTGTCATTTAAGCACCTTGTATTTACTTATTGGTTTATTTAGGATTTAGTCACTGGGGAGGGGGGATATAATTGCCAGCCCACGGGGCATTATAACACATTTGTGGGGACTCTTTAAGTAGTAGGGAGTTCATTCATTTATTAATTATTTAAAGTAGTTTTTGGGAGAGGCGGCACAACAATTTTTATGGTTACTACGCGGTAGAGTTTGCATCCCAACACACTGCAAATGCCACATTTTATCATTAGAAGAAAAATAGCGGAGCTCAGTAACAAACAACCTATTGATAAAGAACTGCACTTTCACCATGGGGTGAATAAAACTGTGCATAAAGCACAGAGTGGGCAGTCCATATCCAGTATAGCCAGTAAGTGCAGAAGGAGTGGCCCACCAGCGACAGGTAGGTGATTACAAGTGCAGGGGATTCTACACGCTCACTGCTTCCAACCCAAAAATATGAAACAGATCCACATACTTTTGGCTATACAAATAGGTTTGATGCCAAAGCCCTGATGAGGAGGGGGAATACTGCCTGAGGCGGCCATTTCTGAGGTCTCCCTGCAAACTGTTTCACTACGCGTGCGCGCGCGTGCGTGTGTGTGTGTGTGTGTGTACATGCGCAAATGATGATGTCCATCTTCCCATCACACATGTTCCTGGAATGGGCTCAGAGGTAGTGGGTGCTGCAGCCAGCTGGAAACCGGAGATGTCATAGATCAACATACATATTTGCCAACACACCACGGATCATCAAATGGCATCCCAAAATCTTACTGAAGAATGATTACATAACAAAGGATAGAGAGTCACGCAGAACCCCTTTTGTCAGGTATGTAATAATCCCTGGTGTTCTGGCAAATATAAATGTTGACCCATGTGTGCACCCCCACGCATTACCTAGCAAGTTTCCTACACAACCACTGTGCCGGCCACACAGTGCATTGGCCAGCATCTCTGTGATATAGATCCGGCACTGTTAACCCTTTGAGGACCGTAAGATTTTGGAACGCCAAAAGAATCAATTTTTTTGTTTTTAAAGTTCGTACACTTCAGTTGCTGTAACTAAGCCATTTTATGAAATAATTGGCAAAAAACTAGATCAATTTGTTGTTTGTTGATAAGAACTAATATTTTGACTCAAACCAATAAAAAAAAAAAAAAAAAAAGTTTTAAGTTCTTAATCAGATGATACACACAATTAAAAACATGGGACAAATACGTCCCTTGGTCCTCAAAGGGTTAACAGGCTCCCCATCACTGAAGAGGCTTGGCTGCTGCACAGCTGTCATAAATGAAAGGATGGAACATGATATATAATTAAAAGATGAATATCATAGTGTTCCATCCATTAATTTATCCTTGATTCGGTTACCAATCTGAACCAGCATGCTGAACAATTTTTATTATCCTGAATTTATCCATCCCTTTTAATTTTTTATTATTATCATGAATGTATCCCTCCCAGGGGCGGACTGACAACTCATGGGGCCCTCGGGCAAAAGGGGATCATGGGGCCCCTGTGTCCTTGCCCAAACTCCAAAAAGCCTATGAAAAAGGTACCAGGGGCATCTCATGGGGCCCCCTACTGACCCCGGGCCTTCGGGCAGTGCCCGAGTTTCCAAATGGTCAGTCCACCCCTGATCCCTCCCTTTTAATTTTTATTATTAGCCTGAATTTCTCCTTATTTTTTAATTGTATATCATCATGTTCCATCCATTCATTTATCCTTGATTTGGTTATTAATCTGAACCAGCATACTGAACAATTTTTACTATCTTCCCGAATTTATCCTTATCTGCATTTTTATTCTTTATTTTGATTTTGCTGCTTAATACTAGTTTTGACATATTATTCCAATGCTCTGCTCATATTACTTTTCAGTATTTAATTATCTGTTGTTTTATATATATTTTCAATATTTCTTGCACTCCGTATAATGCTATGAACCCTTATTGTAGTTTTCATATGTATTTGTTCTCACACATGGATATAGTGCTTAAGGTCATTTCCGTGTATTAACATTTGCGATATACATCTTTTCTCTTACTTAGTTTTATTATATTTTATCACATGTTTTTTATCCTTTAATTATCCATTTCTGCACTTAATGATAGCCCTCTTGCTGTGGGTCATTTATTCCTCCCTTACTCCTCCCCTCGCTGAGAGTACAAATGCCCCACATCAAGATGGTGTCCTTATGGCTTGATGAGGGAGAACGCATGCTCCGAGCGCGAGCCAACGTGACCGGCAGTGACGTCTCAAGTGAGGGAATCCCGGAACTAGGAGGATGTGTTGGAAGCCACCAGCACCACCGCCAGATGCCGGTGACCACCATCCATCCAGAGGCATCACACTCCTTCACTACAGTGGACGCTTATTCATTTACAAGTGCAAACCTACTTATGCTTTGTGAGCGGCCTGTATTACTTCACTTTTTTATCCATTAAAAAGCTTTCATACTGCACTTAGAGGGTGCCGCCTCTTTCTTCTGGATCTTCCACAGGGCCTCTCTAGCTAGTTATTGGCCGGCTGCCTCCGCTCCATGGTGCATCAGAATTACCTATAGGACGGTTTCTAAGGACATTTTATTTGTATATTTATTACAGTATATTGTTCCTGATTTATTTTCCCTAATTCCATCACCATTGATTATATGCTTGTACAGGGGTGGACTGACAACTCATGGGGCCCCTGGGCAATAGGGGATCATGGGGCCCCTGTGTCCTTGCCCAAACTAAAAAAAGCCCATGAAAAAGGTACCAGGGGCATCTCATGGGGCCCTCGGGCAGTGCCCGAGTTTCCAAATGGTCAGCCCGCACCTGTGCTTGTACATACCAATGTATGCCGCATCTACCTCCTTACTCCATCTAGGAGTGCGCCAAATATCCTACTTGACTAAAGATGGTATGGACACTCTGGCTTTACTGTTGCTTCCCCACCATACCTCCACAAGTGCCGTCTGAAGCAGCCACCTCAACTGGCCCATGTGGTGGCTAGGTGTCACACATATTTTTCTAGGGTTGTCAAAGTCGGCTGCAGATTAGAATGTACAGATCAATATAAAAGCATGTATGTAAAGCCAAACCTCTCTTTAGTTTGTATAAAAATTTGGAAGAGTTAGAAGCTCTGTCAAGTTGTATTGCTGTCTGTGTCCCCGTTGGGAGACTCACTTCCAAAGGTCCTGGTGGCCTTTGTTTCCAGTACAGAAAGTGATGAAAAAATCCCAATTTTTTTAATTATCGCACGAACAGGAGGTGTGGGAAATCTTCCGGGGGCAGCTTTGTTCTAGAGACAGCCGTCTAAGAGAGGATATCCTCTCACTTTGGAACGATCTCCTCTTACTTCTTACTTTATCTGGAACATGAAATGAAGAGAAATCTCCCCAAGGGCCAACAAAGAAGAAAACATAATAGGGGTCTTAAAGCGGAGTTCCACCTTTTGAAAAAATAAAAGTCAGCAGCTACAAAAACTGTAGCTGCTTTTTTCAAAAAACAGCCACTTATCTGTCCCTCGGTCTCGTGGTGTCCCCCCCGCAGCTCATTTCACCGGCCGTCCTGTATTCCAGGAGGCCGACATCTTCAGTGTGGGCACCCGGCTGCGATAGCTTATGGCTTCATAGCCGGGTACCCACTGCGCATGCGCGAGAAGCGCTGCGCTTCATGAATGGTCCTGTAGTCTTCTGGGACCTGTCTCGTGTCCCAAAAGACTACAGGGAGGGAGGGAGGACACCTTCTGTTTCCGATCGCCTAGGCAATCGGACCGGAAGTGGGAGTGGGTGCCTGTCAAATTCAGGTACCAGCTCCCCCCGCCCCCCAAAGGTGTCAATCCTTAATGGGGAGCGGGGGGAGCAGTCCTTAAAGTGGAACTTCCCCTTTTAGGTGGAGCTCTGCTTTAACTGTTCCCTACTTAATAAAAAAAAAAAAAAAAAAAAGTTTAGACTTTAAATAAATTTAAAGTGGAACTAAAGGCAAAACCTTTTCCCCCAATTTGGTTAGAGTAGGGGAGGGTTATAACCCCTGTCAGGGGGTTATAACCCTCACTGTCCCAGGAAGCAAGAGGAAATCCCTCCAAACTGAAGGAATCCCAGGTTGAGACCAGAATAGGTGTTCCTGCTGAAATATTTCCCCTCTATCCCTGTTCTGGTGACAACCCAAAATTTGGTATTTTCTTTCCCTCTCGGTGATAACGGTTCACAGGACAAGTTGAGAGACAGCAATAAAAACAAGACAGGCATTCTAATCCCTCTCCACTTACTCAAAAACTGAAAAAAAGTTACCAAATGGCTTGAATGGCAATTATACCTCTATTCATCCATTTAAAAAAAAGTGTAGTTTTCCTCTAATGGAAAAGAGTGTGTGCTGCTTTTTGCGATCCCTTTTATGTAACTGGGCATACACAACCAAGTAACATAAATTGGCATGTCTGCATTCAGTAAAATATGCAGTATGTGATTTATCTATGCAGAAAAAATATACCATTGGTCAGGTATTGGGCAACTGATTTAGTTGTATCTGCTAAAGGATGGCTTGAAACAAACTCAAAGAGTACTCAACGCTGGTAGATCTCAAATGCATTCAGCATTAACCATACAGCTATTCACAATCTCTGTACCTTCCCAAGAGGCTCCTCCTGGTCAGTCTTGACTCCGAAACGAGGTATCGTAGAGTTGGTCAGGCTGGAGCTGTGCGTGAGCTTCTTGACGCCACTTATTTGGCACATCGTCTGTTGTTTCTTCTTCTTCTCTCGCTCCTTCTGTGTTGGGGATGGGATTTCCACTTCGTTCTGTTTGTCTGCAACACATAAACAACTAAGTTACAGAACAAGAATCACGAACAGCTTGATGCACTAACACATCATGGTGGTTCTTGTATAGATACAGAAGGATAGTGGAAGCTTCAGTCATACAACCCATAAGGTTAAAATAAAAGCAAATGTATTCGAATACAAGGTAAAGGTGGTCCAATACTGATGGATCTCCAGAATCCAGCAAATTATTATTGGAAAAAAAAAAAAATATTATATGACAGTCATCTCAGAAGCACTTTGTTTTGCATTAGGCATGCTTATAACTGGATTTAGGAGATTATTCCGTACTGGACAGTCTTTTCTTTTATATTCTGATTTTACTGAAGTCTCTGGCCCATAGAAGAAGTATATCAAGAATTCCCCATGCAGCAGCATACTATGTCCTTTGATGCAGGTAAATGTATGACCAGTTGTCACGAGTGATATGGTGTCTTACATAAGCCTCCAAAATAGATTTTATATATACCAATTCTGGATCCTCCAGCCTCAGCCTTTTCTCTAAGGATTCTACATCCATTTTCTAATGCGAATATTCCAAGTGTTATAAAAGAGGTCAGAAACATGAAAAAGCGTAGAAGGAACGGTTCCATGTTCATAGTAAAATGTTGTGTAGCTTTATCAGAGCAATCCTCTGTGTCCTGTGTCTCAGGTGGGCAGGCAATTATTAGCCCATTGAGAGAGAAGACTGCATATTTAAACTTGTAGGATGAACAGGTGTCCCATCTACATAGCCATCTTACAGGAAGGATGGTGAAATGGATGGTTTACCAGCCCTGGAACATGTGGTTGGGCACAGATCATGTATCTTATGGGAAAGCGATTGCACGGTTTACACAGCAATATAAAACCTAATATCCCACTGTGTATCTGTAACCTAGCAAAACGTTACTAAAATGGTTTAACGGCTATTACTGATGTACAGAACCCTCCACACTGTGTAAAGATAATCCCAACTCCACACTATTGTACTGTGGGGAAGGGGTGGCGAGCAATCGTTAAACAGATCCAGCTCTGACAGTCAATCCTCTTGTGGCTTACAGGATATTTTCGAAAGACATGTCAATCAAAAGTGAAAAAATCTTCCAAGGAAGTCGTAATGGCAAACTGGGGAAATGTAAATCTGTTCTGTACATTCAGGCTTTGTCAGCGTCAGCTGTGCAACAAGGCTACTTACCCTGGGGACCTATAGGATTATTCAAAAGATGCAAGAACAATCTAAGTTGGCCCTCTGCCATCATATGATTGGTTTGTAAAGCAGACGAATGTTCAGTAGGGACAGCAATAGAGATGTGATGGACTGGGGCAAGCCAATAGATTTGCATTTAAGATCATTCAGGATTTAGGTATTCATATGGGATGCTAAAAAAGGTCATACAAAAAGGCAAGCATCTGAGGGACCCACATTGACTAACATAGTACATCTGAAAGGGTTACTTTTAGAAAGCTGCACCTTCACCTCCTCAAACACCTACAGGAGGTGAAAATGCAGATCTGAATTGCTCCTGCTTTCAGGAATTTGTGTGTATAATGCACATTTGAGGCCCTGACTGACTATATAGACTGTACATTCTTCAATTTAACTTTCTATCCACTGTAGGGTCTGCTTCTACTCCTAAATGATCATCTTTGCCTTGGGTGGCAGCAGAACTCATCCCAGCTCTATACGTATTCTATCTACCGACCATTTAAATGTTGTGACATGGTCTACAACAGGGGTGTCATACAGCCCTTTCTGATCTTGTAGACCACAAGTATCAAACTGGTGGCCCTCCAGCTGTTGCGAAACTACAAGTCCCATCATGCCTCTGCCTTTGGGAGTCATGCTTGTAACTGTCAATCTTGCAATGCGTCATGGGACTTGTAGTTTGGCAACAGCTGGAGGGCCACCAGTTTGATACTTGTGGTCTACAAGATCAGAAAGAGCCGATTGCCGCATACCATTCCTGGACAGTGGAATGTGAAAGGCAGTCCTTCTCTCGCTGCACATCAACGTGAGGGAGTATTGCTGATACAATAAATTTCAATGAAAAGCTGAAATAGAAATACAACCTCAACATTCCTATGCAGGGGATAATATTTTGTAGGTAAAACCAGAAAGGTGTACATAACAGAGGATTCCCCATAGGGGCTATTAGTAAAGTAACATTGGGAGATTTAAAAAATATGAGAAGTTATGAAGCAACAACGGCCGGCGGACAGTTATTATTATTTAAAATAACATTGTCATATGGAGTCGCCCTGTAAAACATACTAAGTTGGCCACATTCCTCAATCTTCTGTTTATTCCTTTATCTCAACCTTCTGGTCACATATCATGAGTTGTAGATATAGCAGGCAGCAGAGCTTTCCTGAGACCCAAGGTTTATTTCAATGTTTCCTCCATGTTAAATAAGGGAAGAAAGACAGCCATAGATTATTCTGCAGAATGCTAACACCGGCAGGGAAGTCCTCTCTATCACATCCCAGGAGAAGCAGCCTTGATCCACCAGATGTCTCCACTCACAGCTCACCCGGCAGACAGGAAACTAAAGGCCTCTCCCCATTTTCCCACAGCTGGCACTTTTTAAGGGAAAACTAAATATACATTCATAAAACAACAGACATAAATAATCCGTAGTGTGTCCTGCATCATTCCCACGTCAGAGGATTATTAATACATGATGGGGCTGCCGTCTGAAACTGTAAACTTTCTGTGTGCGTGAGAAAACATGAATCACAAGTCCTTGGGTCCAACTCACAGCATGCAATCAATCTGTTATCACGGAAAGAGGTCTCTGTGCACTCCTGCCTAGGCCCAGGAGATACTTTAATAAAGGGTCAGTCGCCCCAAAACCCATATTTCAGCCTATGGTAGATGCTGTAGGGTGCGGCCTACTGACCAGGGGCGGACTGACCATTTGGAAACTTGGGCACTACCCGAGGGCCCGGGGTCAGTAGGGGGCCCCATGAGATGCCCCTGGTACCTTTTTCATAGGTTTATTGAGTTTGGGCAAGGACACAGGGGCTCCATGATCCCCTATTGCCTGGGGGCCCCATAAGCTGTCAGTCTGCCCCTACCCATGACTGCCCACCTGCCATGACAACTATATTGGGGTCTCATTCTGCCTGGAGAATGCAAGAGGAGGGGGAAGGGACAACTTTTTTGCAGAAGGACAGGACAGAGAAATAATGTATTTTGTTAATGTGTATGCAAAAGCCAAGAGTTTTTAAGTAAATTTTGAATAGCATGAGGAAGTGTTATTGAAGAAGGGTTTTTATTGCTGTCAGCCCATGCAAGAGATACATCCTCTCTACTTTTCCTGGAGACCATTGTCACGGTAGAGAAAGTAATGGGAAATACTAAATTTTAGAGTTGTCAACAGGGGATTTAATCTTGCTTTGGAGAATTGTTTTCTTACTTCTTGTCATGTCTCTGAAACATACTAAGCCTGCCGTGTGTCCGGGTTTGACAGCTTGGATCAAACCCTTACATACTGTAAGTCACCCCTGCTCAACCTTTTGAAGAGCGAAGGCCACGTAAATGATTTGGTAACCGGTCATGGGCCACAATGAAATGAAATGGATCAGAATTCCGAATTTCTTATGTTTAATAGCCTAATGAACGTTTTCTTCCTGCAGCTGTCGAATGCTGGCAGGAAGAAAAACAGGAGAAGCCGACTTTCAGGGGTTGCAGGAGGAAAATGGAGAGAATCTGTTCCTGTATATGCCTCCCCTCTAAAACAGAATGTGACAGGAAGGCCACACAGGCCCCCTGAAGCATGGGTTGGGGTTGCCATTGTAACGTCTGACACTACACCAGTGGTTGGGGGTGTGTCGTAAAACACGTCCCAGCTGTGGGGTTTTACCACACCCCAAACCACAAATGTAAACTGGCCCTTATTGTTTTGAGCCCCCTATAAGACTACTTTCACACTGATGCACTGTGGTTTACCCGCACTTCAGGTGCAGTGCACCTGCAGCTTAGTTGCGCTTTGCCATAAACTTTTGTTATATCTTGTGGGTGTGGTGCACTTTCAGAAAGCGCACCAAACCCGCAGGATATAATAAAAGTGCGCTTTCCTGGTTTGAGGTGCAGGGCCACATCAGAGGGCCCCAGGGGCCACATGTGGCCTGCGAGCCACAGGTTGAGCACCCTTGCGGTTAGTCTTTTAGTTGTGTATCAACGCAAGTCCATTCATACCCACAGTTTCAGCCCTGAAGAAGAGGTAGGCATTTTCCCTGAACCACGTTGGCTTCATCTGATGCCTTTGTGCAACAAACATTTCAATTTGACCATTTTGTGCTATGAACTGTTGTACTGGGCACTCCTCAATACTCACCCCAGAGTTAGGTCTCTGGAAGAGGAAGCAAAGGGAAATCTCCCTGACATAGATGTAGCACCCTCTAGTGTGCTTCTAGGATTAGTGTAGGTAAATTTGTTGTGTATAACTCATGGTACCTGTGAGAGTCTGTAATTAGGTCAGGTTACTGCAGGTCAGGCTGGATGACTTAACAGGTTGGGACTCTATCGCCTCCACCTGGTTCTGGAGAACCATGGAAGCTTCCAGAAGTCAGTGGGTCGGAAGGGGTGGAGACCTAAATCTGCATGTTTATGGGAGTCTAACCAATCCCGGGTTTGGAGGCCCTGTTAGAGTGGCAAGACCAACCCATAAATATGGGAGAACCAGGCTGGCAAGGGAGTCGGATGGAAGATGGAGCGGTGAGGAGAGGCGGTCGGTGGCCTGGGAGGGGTCCCCTAGGTCTAGGGGGGTTGGCCTCCAGGCTGAGCTTGGGCTGTCTCAGGAGGATCCATTCAGCAGTACAGCATGAACAGGATCAAGGCCTGGAAGTAGCGGGAGCAAGGAGGAAAGAGTGAGTACATGAGCACACCCAGGGGAGAGACAGGCACATGTAGCAAGCTTTCAAAGGACAGC